ACGAAATTCCGAAAGTTTTCCCCGACGCGGCCAAGAACATTCACACATTCAAAAAGGACACGTCGAAGTTCCGCTTGTTTCGGAATTCCCAACTGTCGAGCCCAATTCACAGAGTGATGCATGCGGAACCAAGCGTATCAATAGAGAAAAAGAAGTACAAGGAACCATAACCGGGTCGCGGATGAGATGGCGACAACATCTGTGGCAAGATCTTCGGAGCCCTGTCATATGCAAACCTCTGCCTCGTGGAGATCGTCCAGGTGACGCCATCATGGTCCACCTGATGTCCGTGTGCTCTGCACCCCTGCTTGTTGCCGTCCGCCGAATCGGCAAGTAGGTTGACGTCATCGTCGATGGCGTGATCTTCGCGAAGCTTACCGATTCGTGCCGATGAAGGGAGGGGGGGGGGGTTCAAGTGAAAGGGGATCTACCACCGCCTAGTTGGAATAGGCCAGTAGAGGCAGTACATGCCGGGGATCTCGTGGGGGTGACAGGGAGGGAGTGGGGGTAGGAAGCGATTCGTCCCTTCCATCCTCACAGGGAGCTCCTCATATCGGGCGATTCGGTGGAAGCGGGGGAAATGATCGCTACTGCGGGGGAGGGAGGCGAGAAAGTCGTGATAGAAGGAGGAGAGGGTACGGAAAAGCGCCGCTCGAAAGATCTCGAAGTGGCGGCAAGCGGGGATTGTCCTTGTGGCGACGCAGTAAACTTCTACCACGTTGGATTGCTCCCATGCAACACTGAACATTAGGAGATGCCTGCAGAATGTGGGAGCAACGGACTTAAGGGAGGCGTGGGGGTGGACGGTGGCGAGTAAACGGGTAGAGTAGAAGTCACGGAAGAGATGGGGATGGAAGGGATGAGAAGGGAAGGTGACGGGGGTACGGATCTGCTCGAGGGTGAGGAAATCAAGGGGTCGGCGGGACAGAGTGCGAGGACGAAGGCCTATCGCCCGCATCGGTACGTGGACGAACTGGGGGACGGGCGGGGCTGGAGGGGGAGGAGGATCTGCTCCTTCTCCGTTGCGCGGTACTTGAGGTGGCGGTTGCATGTTTGCCATCTTCGGGCTTTGGCGGCTCCGGATCCCTGATCGGATTGTTGTCGATGCGCAGGCTGGCCCTGCTGGCGAACTCCAGTTGTCGCTTCCCGGTGGCAATTTCCTCGCGCCTTCGCTCTGCTTCCGGATCCTCCGCCTCCGTTCCTGCACGCGTCGCTTCCTCCGGCGGGGCTTCCCACTCAGATCCGGCTTCTTCTTCCTCCTCACTCAGCTCGCCTTCTCTATGTTCATTATAGCTTCCCTCCTCCGGTGTTTCTTCGTCGTCGTTTTCTTCTTCGTCGTCGCCGTCGTCGATCACCACTTCTTCTGCCCTCGAGTAGAAGGCGTAAGGGATGATCTCGTACGACTTCAGATACTCCTGCCGCGATGGTAGCGTATCCTCGTCCCTAGGTTCCTCCAAGCACGAAGTCCACTGAAGGTACGGATCCAAGAACCGTTCGAAAATGTACGGAGCAGGACTGTTGTCACTCTGAAAGGAGATGTCGGGCGAGAGATCGTCCGCCAATTGCACGATCGGTGCGATGAGTTCCTGTGCAATCAACTGACGGCGACTTAGTCGTACCGATCCAAAGAGGAATCCAATAAGATCTCCTTCCGCGTTAGTCCTCCAACCCTATATGATCAGCAGCTCCGGATTCTCGATCCACGCGGGATGCTCGCTAGTGCCCGTCCACTTCACCTGTACTCTGGCCAAGCAGAAGGACAGCTCCTCAAAAATTTCGCGCCACAGCCGCCAATGTCCAGGGTTGATAAGAGGGACCGAAAGAGGTTCGAATGAGAAGGAGAGAGAAGGGTGGAGATCGGATTGCCAGAAGGTGGGGAAGAGAGAGGRAAGACCAAAGATARRGAGAGGGGCGAGAAGATTAGCRTGGTTCATTGGGGATGGGGGAAGGGGACGAGGGTTGGGATCACAACTGGCCGCTCGCGTGGTGATCGGCGAATATCGTCAAGATCCGATGCAAAGATCGGGATGATGTTATACCCCTCCCGGGCGAGGACGTGCTGCCACACATTGGACACTTGCTCCGTCCACTCGCGCAGCGAAGCCAAGATCGCGGTATGCCGCAATGGATTGACCGAGCTGATGTCGCCGGTGAATCCTGCCACCGTGGTGACGTGGCTCGTTCTGGGACCCGCTCGCCGATGAACCGTAGTAACTTCTACGAACACTATCGCGTGAGGGCTTCCTTCTATCCGAAATGCGGCGGCGACACAGATACCTTCGTTGCAGAAGAATCGCATCAAACGGCAGAGATCTGTATTGAGCCGGGGGTGACAAACTTGCTGAATCTCTGAGATGTGGTCACGTGGCTGCCGTAGCTGTGTGTCAAGAACCCGCTCCGTGATAAAACTCATGACGAGGTCCGAGAGGAGGACGAGGGACAAGAGGGAGAAAGAGAAGAGAGGGTTAGATCGTCGCCGTTTTCCTTGCTTTCCAAGGAAGAGGAAAGAGGAAGATCAGGGGGAGGAAGAGGGCGAAGGTAGGAGATATGTCGGACGATGGGGACATAGTTATGGGTGGCACTAGCCTCAGGCGCGATACGCACCATGTTGGCGCCGTTGGGTCCAAGCTCGATCACGCAAAAACAGCCAGAAAACGTGGGAGCGAGTTTCCGGCCTCGTGCACATTTACGTACCTGCACTAGGTCCCCTAATTTATATTGATGTTGGGGCCCGGCATTTCCATTCCGAGCCTCGTAGCTACGGACCTGTCTACCGTGCGCAAGTTCGATCATCCTTTGCCTTTTTCGGGCTAGCTTCGGAACGGCCCGTTCCATTAAGTCGGCGTACCTTTCAGCCTTAGCTTTGAGGGCTGCACGCGTGTCTCTACCCCCTGCTTCGACAATTTATGAGTTACCCCGGTAATCGACACAGGGGAGGCTATTAGTTCGAAGCTGAAAGGGGGTAAACCCCGTGGATTCGTGAGGAGTGGCCCGGTGGATCCCGATGATCTGATATATGATTTCGGGCCGCTAAGTTCCTGCGAAGGGCAATTTTAATCATACGGTTGGCATTCTCGGCCAACCCGTTCGACAGGGACACGTGGGGTGCAATATGTCGGAGGGTGACGCCCCTTCGCGCAAGTAGTTCTTCTACCTCACCTTTAAATTCAGATCCATTGTCGGTTAGAATTTCTTTCGTATCTAGATGGGTATAGAGGAACCATTCGATATACATGGCTATTTCTGCGGCCTTTCGGGTCTTACAGGGATAGACTTCGATGTATTTGGAAAAGTGGTCAATTAATACTAATAGAAGAAAATATTCACAGCGGTTTGAGGGTGGCACGTCAATATCTGTCGTGTCCATACTGACTCGCTGGAAAGGACGCTCTACTTCCATTCGTACAATCATGTTTGGTCCCCGTATAGGGGCGCGATCAGCGGCACAGACCAGACAGTTAGCGACAATGTATTTGACATCATCTCGTATATTGGACCAGAACCATCGGTTCTGGTCTACAGTTGACTCCGTGATCCGTATCGCAAAATGAGCGGTCCGTTCCTCGTGAGCAACTCGGATCCAATCGTATCTCTGGAAGGGATGAGGAACTGTCAGCCACGAACCCGATCTGTCTGTTTTACGCTTTTCCAAATGGCCGTTAATCCATCGATAGTCCCGAGATCTCTCGGTCGCCCTACGTCGGTCGTGTTTGGTGAGGTGACCCAATGGTAATCCTTCTAATTTTGCCAATAAGATTTTATCCGTCCAAACTTCCGCCCGTCGGTATTTTTCGTCGTATTCAGGGTCGTCCGTACGGGCAGCCTCGAATCGAACCTCCGTGGGGAGTTTGTTCGTTTTACACAGGAGGCACCTCCATTCCTTGCTACGCGTCCGATATCGAATGCAGGCCCCGTGCGCACGATTGACACACGTGGCACATTCTACCCAATGGACAAACCCAGTTTCGAAGGGATGACAGTCGACCCCATAAACCCGGGCATTACACGTGCAAAAATAACAAAATTTATCGGGGAGGGTGGCAAAGAAAGCAGAGGAAATAAGAGGGGCAGAATTAGTAGGGGAAAAAGGGGTTGCAGACATGACGACAGAGGGGAGGAAATGGGACTGAATAAGGGAGAATGAATTATTCCGTGCGTCACTTACGGCTTCGACAAGATCGCCACTTGGCCGTACCGAGACCCGATCTCTTGCGCAGGTTCGTTCCACGGAATCACCTCCTCACTCTTCAGAATTTTCTCAAGCCGCTGCAATCGTGTCAATCCGTCCGCGTTCCCGTGTTTCTCGTGCTTCCGGTGACGGATTTCAAAGTCCATGCTCTGCAGCACCGTTGCCCATCGCCCGATCATGCCCGAGTAATCCTTCGACTTCTTCAGAGCCAGCAAGGGCTCATGATCAGTCACCAGAGTGAATTTTCGTCCGTATAGATAAGCACGAAAGTGACGGATTCCCCAGAGAGCTGCGTAACATTCTCCCGTCGGAGCGGCGTAGTTGCGTTTGCAGGCGGGCACTGATTTGGACGCATACTCTACCACACCCTCGCGTCCGGTTGGTCCCACCTGGGCAAGGATTGGCGAAATCGCCTCTGGCTGCCAGTCAGTGATGAGGACAAAAGGTTTTTCGGGATCTGGTCTTATAAGGACCGGAGCCGAAATGAAAGCGGCCTTGAGTTTGGAAAACGCTTGATCATACTCTGGTGTCCAGATCAACGGTTGATCCTTGCGCAGTAGATTTGTGAGGGGTCCCGCAATCGCCGCGAAGTCCTTGATAAATCTTCGGTAGTACGAGGCTAGGCCTAGAAAGGCGCGAACTTGCGTGATAGTGGTGGGCACTGGTGCGTCCCTGACAGCTGCCACTTTTTGTGGCTCCGGTTGGAGTCCCTTGTCTGTCACCACGTGACCTAGGAAGGAAATGGTGGTGAGAAAGAACTGACACTTCTCAAGCGCCACCTTGAAACCTGCATCTCATAACGCGTGTAGTGCCCATTCGATGTGCTGCACGTGTCCCTCGTAGGAGCTCGAATACACCAGGACGCCATCCATGTACACGATCACGCAGTAGTTGATGATGCTCTGTGCCAAACGAGTCTTCCGTACAAAATTCTGAAAGGCCATATTCATGGCTCGTTGGAAGGTGGCAGGGGCGTTACAGATACCCATCGGACATCGAATCCACTGCCACGTACCTTCAAAAAGCACAAACGTCGTTTTCGGACGATCTTCCTCTCGAACAAGAAGATGATGGAACCCATGGCGAACATCAAATTTGCTGAAAAATCGAGCACTTCCAATCTCATCCAACAACTCATCAATTCGGGGGAGGGGGTACACATCTTTGATCGTGATATCATTCAATTTTCGATAATCAATGCAAATGCGAATCCCTCTGACCTTTTTAAGCACGATCACTACAGGAAAATACCAAGGACCTATCGCGGGTTCGATCCAACCATTGGCTTCGAATTGTTTAATCCGCTGAAAAGCAGCAGGTCGTTCAACTGGCGAATATCGGTAAGGAACGCAACTAATGGGTGGGTGGTCTCCCGTAAGAATGGCATGCTCGATCACATTAGTTAAGCCGATGTCGTTATCGTGCACACTCAATGCATCTGCGTAACCATTCAACACACAAATTAATGATTTTCGCAGTTCCGCGGGAACGTGACCTGGGAGGGTGATAGTCGATTCCTCGGACATCTTAAGGGGCACATCGACCCAGTCAATCGGCCATTCCCACCGCTCGTGGACACTAGAGAAAACGGAGCTACTGGTCCGAACAGAAAAGACAATTGCTATCATCTGGGAGTTAGCGAGGCTGATCATCTCCGTTTCTTTAGTTTCTACGTCGGTCTCTGAACCAACCGAAGTCGGTTCCACAGTTAGCCCTGTTAGATCCGTCATTTATTGCATTAGATTCGGAACGTCACTTACCGGTGCTTCCGCTTCTTGTTTAATCAAAGCGACGGTGGCTCATGTCGTTAGTAATGATCGGGGTGGAAAGACGAAAACGTCCAAATACTGTTCCGTTTGCTGATAACGCATTCGTAAGGAAAAAGCTCCCTCGTACAAAGTGCGAGGGGGTTCCAAATCATCAGCCAGATCGAAAACTTGTAATATGGGTTCCCCGAGGAGGACTGAAGGACTGACCTGGGTTGTTAGAGGCGTGAATGCACTGTCTTCAGAATCCGCGTGGAAGCTTCGAGCGGTGTCGGGACGCACTCGAAATTCTTCGGGGGTTTCATGTTCGAAAAGTTTAACCAGATGCTTCCATTCCTCTTTACTGGGCATCTCTTCTTCGTATTCCTGTCCCCTGATCTCATTACCGTCTTCCGAGGAAGTGCATTTCTTGGAAGTAATGCATCGAATCATCCCTATTTGGGCCAAGTTAGGGACCCGTTTTATTGTTCGAGTGAAGACTCGCAAAGGGACAGTTTGAGGTTTTCCCCCAGTTTGTGTGAGCACCAGTTGTTTTGAATCGAAATGCAATCGTGCGCCTACCGCCATCGCCCATGGTAGTCCTAACAACACAGAATAGGAACGTACATCTATTACGAGTGCGTTAACAAGGACGTGTACTCGCCCGACCTTTACAGCCACGTTCTCGATAATGCCTACAATGTTCATTGCTTCCTCGTCGGCCGAGACATAATTGTCTTTGCCAGATTGAGGAAGAACGGATCCAAGTCGTCCCGTCTTTTTAACAGTTTCTAATGATATGGCCACTGCAGAAGACCCTGTATCAATTACGACATTTATTGGCTTACCCCAAACTTCACAATCACATTCCGCACTTTTCCATAGTACTGGCCGAGCTCGTACGAAGTGATCTTTTTCTGCTGAAGAGATGGCGGCTATGCGCGCGGCTTCAGGTTCTTTAGTGTCCGACTCCGGGGATACCACTTCCTCTGTTTTTCTTTCTTCTTCATCATCTGTTGTATGCGTTGATAGGTGAAACGCTTTTGATTTTTCTGGCAGTATTGTAAAAGTTTATCGTTGGCCGCTTCAGATATGGTGAGCAGATGCCCTACGGGGATAGGAACGCGGATGTCCAACTGCTTGAGCGTTTTCAGTACATCAATCTCTCCTGTCCGAAACTGCGGTCCTGGATTGGATTCGCGATCGACCCACTCGAGATCATCTGAGACTGATCGGATCGCTCCGATCATGCCTGCGAGATGGAGATATTCGAGGGGATTGACCACGTCAGCGGCGTCAGAGGAAGAGGCTCCTGAAGTCGATGCCGTTGCCATCGAAGGGGAAGGTTGTTCTGGAGTATACGCTACGAGCCCTTCTCCCTGGTCCGTAACCATCAGAGCGGCCACTCGTCCTTGATTGAGGCGACAGGGGCCGCAGCAGGGGGAGGCTGATTGTGTTTCGGCTGTGGATAGTCTCGGGCGAAGTGCCCGGGCTGTTTGCAGTTAAAACACTCGATTTTTCCGGCTGGATTAGTCAGATGAGGAAATTGAGGGGCAAATCCTGGAGCAGGTGGAGCAGGTAAGAGCGGGAAGGAAGCAGGGGCAGGCCGAGCGGGAGCCGGGTTAGGCTTAAGCAGCCCGCTCATTATTTGTTCCATTCGTTCCATGTGGGCTGCCAGCATTTGGATCAAGTGGCCGTATGGATCAGCTGGGCAAAATGCAAATTAGGTATGCTTGGCGAGGGGGGTTCAGGGGAGATTCCGCTTTTGATTGTCGCGATCGATTGATTCACGAGGGGGGGGGGAGGAAGAAGCAGGCGGGATATCAGAAACGATTCCGCCGGGAAGATCATGGTCGGGGCGAGGGTAAAATCGTTCGACTACCTGCAACCACGATCGCCTTTTAGCCGTTACATCTCGTATGGTATCTATAATGTCTTCGTCTCCCTGGCTGATATACTTTTTCGTATCAGCCAGGTCTAACTCTAACGCTTTAGTTATGATAACCGATAGCGGGTGTGTTTTCGGCGAAACCTTTTTCTGCAGCTTCCCTTTTAGTGTCGGACTTCGTACGTGATCGATGAACAAATCTGGAGCGGATTTCTTGTCCCGTCCGGATTTATCCAATGTGGTTTGAAATCTATCGACGAAACCGGGTAACAGTTCTCCTGGTCCTTAAAGTCGGCTTTTGAGCATGTACCAGGCAGCATCTTCACTGACCACATCAAATTGAGCCAAGAAAGCTTGCTTGAACGCATCCCAATCCACCCACGTATGTTTCCTGAACCAATCATGAGATGTATTGCGGAGTAGCAATGTAAGAACCCGGGGAAGGTCGGCGGCGCTGTAGTTTTGAGCCTCAACCGCCTCCAACCAAGCCTCGGGTTGGGTAAGGTAAGGGAAGAAGGGAAAGGGGGCAGGGATGCTAACGATCGCCCTCGTACCGTCCACCATTGGTGTTGCTGGCGCAGCCGCACGGAACTGAGGCCTGGTTACGGGGCGTTCTCGACGAGCTAATTGAGGATCTCTCCTGCCTCTCGCCAGTTCGACTTGCTATCATCAGAACCAACACGTGTCGGCTCCGATACCAACCTCACGCCCTGTGCTGTCTTCCGTTCGGAGTGTTAGATGTGCGAAAAGAGGCCCAGAAATACAGCAAGATGGGATGTGCCAAGGATTTTTTAGAATTGAGTGTGGGGACACAGACGAAACTGAAATCCCCCGTATTGGTCCGATGAAGCAAGTCGATCGTTTCCCGCGCGTCGCAGAACGCGCGCGGACAAGCGGGAGGAGGAAAAAATCCGAATTCAATCCAAAAAATATTGTCGCACTTCCCACTGGGCTACGGCCCGTCGTTTAGAACGGAAGGGCTTTGGCACGCTTCGCGTGTCTCGTTTCCGTATCAAATCCTGTCTTCGTTCGTTGGTTAGTTCCGAGTAGGACGTGGACGGTCTCAGCCGCGTGGCTCTTTCCTTGTGCTCCTCTTCACTCCGTATCCGGTAGTGAAAGCCTTATGACTCGTAGCGATCGAAACGCCGGCATTCGGTGCACAGAGTGCGCGGCCAGTGGGGTTCTACTGCCGTCCACGGAATGACGATCAACTCATTAAATGGCAACAATACCGAGTAAGGTGAGAAGTGCGTATCGATAATAACAAACCCGGCTTCTACGAACCCAGAACGGCGGTTAGCCGGAGGGAAGTAATACTGCCCGCCGATTTGTGCTACGGCTTCTCGCACGTCCCACTCGCACACACGTGTCCTTTTCTCACTGTAAGGAAAAGCTCGCGTTGGGATGGGAGATACGGGAGGCTGGCGCCCAATTGAAGGGTACTTGTCAGTCCACATGTCAATCAATCACAAAATATCCTGAGACAACANTCGCGTTGGGATGGGAGATACGGGAGGCTGGCGCCCAATTGAAGGGTACTTGTCAGTCCACATGTCAATCAATCACAAAATATCCTGAGACAACATTAAGMACAAAAGCRATTYGCGCGTCCCCCAATAAATCYTTTTGATGCAAGAGAGWGTAAGCACAAATCAGCTTGATCACACATATTGCTACGGGTCCGATCAGTCCAACACAACGTTGGTCCCTCGACGCCTGGTTTCTCAGGGCCRCCTCGTGGCTCGRCTGCTGATGTCGTGCAGCATAAGGCAGATGRCATGCGCAGTGCAAACAGAGCTACARATCTAAACACTCTTGCATTCTTGAGCAAAGTTCCGACAACAAATATCTAATCAATACAAAATCCATATATACATCCACTGTGGAAGGTGCGAAAATGAGACATGCACYGGAAAAGATGAATCGTCTACTCAGTACACACGCATCCACCGTTCACAAGACAAAAGATGGGGTCCTTGCGTAGGAGGATTACCTAGGAAACTAATGGAAGAGTTCTGGAAGAACTTCTTTCACTCAAGGGAGGCGCACCGATTCATTCCATTTCAGAAGGAAAAAGAAGAGAGAGAATCATCGAGACACATCATTATTCAAAAGTAGAGAAGAGAGGGGGAAGAAGGGGGAGACGAGTCGAGA